TGTCCACGTCCAGCTGCTCGAAGATCCGCGCCAAGTCATCATCGGAGAGTGTCGTTGGCATGGCCATGCGTATCGCTGCTTCCCATCACACAACCTCCAACCAACCAACCCCAGCTGTCGTGTGGGTTCTTCGTTGTTGTTGTTGTCGTGTGGTTCTTGTTGTCGTGGTTGCTGCGTTGCGTGTTTGGATTTCGCCAGCGAAAGTTTTGGCGAATAATTTGGATGCGGGAGGCAGCGCAGATGACTTTCAGACACCACAGACATACACACAGACATACACACAGACACTCACACACACAGACATACACACAGACACAGACACACACACAGACACACACACACAGACATACACACAGACACAGACACACACGCTCACACACACACACACACACAGGCACACACGCTCACAGACGCACAGACACACACATCACGAGGATGATCCCGTTTGTTGTGTCTGGGGTACGGTTCGTGCTGTCGCTGCGCAACTGGCTCATGTCGCTGACAGACCCCACGAGCGGTGGCGGCACGGGAGGGTGGTGGGTGTCTGGGGTTGGTGCAGGAAGCGGCGCTCAGTACTTCAACCTGCTCGATTTCGATACACGGGACCTCGACGAGAACACAAGCAGCAGCAGCAGCAATGCCCGTGGCGGTAGTGCTGGTGACAGCGTGGGTGTGGATATGGAGGCGTTCGTGGAGGAGCGATATCGACGTGACGAGCGAGCGCGCAGCGTCCTGGCACGCAGACCGTCTCATCAGCGGCAACTGGAGGCACCACCGCAACACGCGGCCCTGACCAGCTCATGACACGGCTCTGCCTGCCTGTTGGTTGATGTGTGTATGCATGTGTATGTATATGCATGTATGTGCATGCGTGTGTTTGCGTGTTTGCGTGTGTGTGTATGTGTATGTATGTGTGTATGCATGTGTGTATGCATGTGTATACATGTGTGTATACATGTGTGTATGCATGTGTATGTGTGTGTGTGTGTTTGCCAATTTGCATGTTGTTGTTTAATTCACCAAGGCCTTTACAACGCGCCACATTCTAGCTTGCATACTCTGCATCTAAGCGACAGTAAACGATTTACCCTCGTTCCCTTTGGCCCTCAACGCTCAGTGTACCTGCGACTGTGTGGTTGTGTCATCTATATTGGAGTGCAAGGACGCACACAGATAAGAAAGGAAGGAGCCCACGCCCACAAGCGCACACAAGCTCAGCATTGATTTCACAACACACACATGCACACACACACATGCGGTGTCTAGAGTGGAGTGTAGTCGCTTGCGGGCGCACCGAATCCGCCCTGGTTCTGATCATCCATCATGTCGCCAGCATCATCATCATCAGCGTCGTGCGTTGGAGAAAGCGGGTCATCGTTAAGGAAGGCATCAAGCTCAGCCGTGTCGCTGAACACAGACGTGGTCGTCACCGCCGTTGCTGCGCTCGATGCGTCGCTCTTCTTGCTCTTCTTGCTCTTCTTCTTCTTCTTCTTGCTGCTGTTGCTGCCACTGCTGCTGTCAGCGCCCGTGCTGTGCTTCGCCTTGTCCTTCTTGTCCTTCTTTTTCTTCTTCTTCTTGTCCTTGCGCAGTTCGCTTCCATCAACAACGTCTTCATCACCAGCGACAACAACACCATCACCGCCATCACTGCCACTCCTCTTGTCTTTCTGCTTCTTCTTCTTGTCCCTGTTCTTCTTGTCCTTCTCTTGATCCTTCTCCTTGCTCTTCCTCCTCCTGCTCCCACCTGTGCTGGCTGCATCATCACCACCATCATTGTCACCATCGTCACCACCATCACCACGTGCCTTCTCATCGCCCTTGCCTCTCCTCTTGGCAGCGTCAGTGTCATTATCGCTGCTGTCTTCAATAACACCGTCGTCACTAGCATCTTGCTCTTGTGGCTGCTGCTGTTGTTGTTGTTGTTGCTGCTGCTGCTGCTGTGTGCGTGCGTTCTCGTCCTCCTCCTCGCTATCGTCGCTCACCTCAATGTCGTCACCAACAGCAATCTGTCGCAAGGAACAAAGGGCAATGATTGGTTGGCCAGTGAGAGAGTGAGAGAGTGAGAGAGTGAGAGAGTGAGAGAGTGAGAGAGTGAGAGAGTGAGAGAGTGAGAGAGTGAGAGTGAGTGACTCCAGGCGGAATATGTGTGTGTGTGTGCGCGTGTGTGTGTGTGTGTGTACTGACCTGCAGGTCTTCGTCGCTCACATCCTCATCCGCCATCAGCAGCTGTCACGACAGCACAACACAACATATGGCGAACAAGACTTGGTGAGTTGATGAGACATGGTGTGCACAAAACATGTCACCCCTCGCAAACAGGGTGTGCAAACGTTGCTGCTTTGTTGTTTTCCTCACCGGATTGGGGCCACCGTCGTCGTCATCATCGTCGCCATCGTCGTTGGTGATGGGATGCTGCACGCCTTCGGTCATGACGCCATCATCATCGTCATCATTGCCATGCTGCTGCTGCTGCTGCTGCTGCTGTGAGTGAGAGAGTGAGAGTGAGTGACTCCAGGCGGAATATGTGTGTGTGTGTGCGCGTGTGTGTGTGTGTGTGTACTGACCTGCAGGTCTTCGTCGCTCACATCCTCATCCGCCATCAGCAGCTGTCACGACAGCACAACACAACATATGGCGAACAAGACTTGGTGAGTTGATGAGACATGGTGTGCACAAAACATGTCACCCCTCGCAAACAGGGTGTGCAAACGTTGCTGCTTTGTTGTTTTCCTCACCGGATTGGGGCCACCGTCGTCGTCATCATCGTCGCCATCGTCGTTGGTGATGGGATGCTGCACGCCTTCGGTCATGACGCCATCATCATCGTCATCATTGCCATGCTGCTGCTGCTGCTGCTGCTGCTGCTGCTGCTGTTCACTGCTACTCCCCTCCTCATCCCCATCACCACGACCATGCGATGGCTTCGTTTCTGTCTGTCGTGTCGCCGCTGCATCTGGCTCCGAGTCGGAATCGCTCACGGCGCCAATCTGCTCGGTGACACCACACGTGCAATGCACGTGGCGTGAGCGCGTGGGTGTTGGGGTGAGGGGGAGATGAAGAGCAATTAAGGAGCAGCCCTGACGCCCGCGACAAGCCCACACCCACACATACATAGATAGACACACACACACACACAGGCACAGACAAAGATACACACACACACACACAGGCATTCGCACAGCTCACGTTTGCGTCGCTGTCTTCCACATCGGAAGCATCGGCCATCACCATCGCATCACCATCACTATCACTGCTGTCGCGCACGGCATTGGCAGCCTCAGCATCGCTCTCCTCAACGTCGTCGTCACCGGCAATCACAAACCCGCCAACATCATCGTCATCATCATCATCATCGCCGTCGTCGGCGACAGCAGTGGTGGTGGTCGTGGGGGTGGTGTGTGTTTCTGCCTTTGTCTTTGCTGCTGTGTGTTGTGGCTTTGTTCCCTTTCCGGCGGCCGTTGCATCATCGTCGTCATCGCCAAAGAAATCGTCAGGCAGCTGCTCGTCTGGCGTGCGTATGTGTGCGTGTGTGTTGGGGGAATGTGAGCGGCGTGGTGTGTGAATGTATGCTGCGCTTGTACCAGCCACTTAAACACACAAAGGGATGCAAGGAATGATGATGGCGATGATGATGGCGATGATGGTGGCGATGATGGTGGTGGTGGTGGTTGTACCTGGCACAAAGTCCTCAACGCTGGCGACCTGCTGTGGCGGGCGCGGCCCTGATGGGGATAAGGTGACAGTGGTGACGGATTAAGCGTGAGGTGGTGCGCGAAGAAGTCACCAAACACAAGAACACACACACACACAAACACACACAAACACACACACACACACACACACACACACACACACACACACACACACACACACACACACACACACGCACGTACCAGTCGCATGCTGCTGGTTCTGGTCTTCGTGTTTTTGCTGCCGCGTTGGCGACTCGTCCTGGCGTCTCATTGTTGCGCTCAGAGATGAGCGCATGCGGGCAAACACACCCAGCGCAGACCCTGACACGCAGGCAGGCACACAGCAGTTGGTTGATGGATGATGGTTGATGATGATGATGGTGGCGGTGGTGATGGTGGCAATGATGATGAGTGTGGATTGTTCGGCTGCAGCGTCGTCGTGAAAAAAAGCCAAGACAACAGCATTCACACAAATACAGACGTGGCTATAACGATGACACAGGAGCATGCGCACCTTGTTGCTGCTGCTGTTGTTGTTGTTCGAGCTGCCGCAGTGCCTCCGCTGCACAGGGATGGGGGAGTGTTTCGTGTCGGCACGGAATGAGCAGGGAGTCGGCACAATGCACCAGGACATGAAGAGAGGGTGTGTGTGTGTGTGTGTATGTATGTGTGTGCGTGTGTGCGTGTGTGCGTGGGTGCGTGTGTGCTGTGTGAGTGTGCTGTGTGTGTGTGTGTGTGTGTGTGTGTGTGCGTGTGTGTGTGTGTGTGTTGTTTGCGGTTTCACCTTGCTCCGCTGCCTTGCGCTGCGCCTCTTTTGCCTTTCGTCGCTCAATGAATCTGACAGGAAAACAGAACACGGAGGAGTGTGAGCGATGGGAACAGGTCCACAGAGGGAGATAGAGACAGTCAAGCAGAGATCACACATGGCAGCATGAGGCGCGCGCGCGTGTGTGTTGGGGGGGGGGGACACGAAAGCACACGGCTGGTGCCACCAAAATACAACCACCACCACCGCCATCATCATCGTGATCTCGTGATTGTGTCTGTTCACCCCACTTTGCGTAGCTCTGTTCATCGGCATCTGGACCAATGGCCGTCAGTTCATCAACCAGCGCTGCCGGCGCCACGTGGTGGCACGCGCAATGATAGTGGTGAAGAGGGGGGGGGGGTATTGAAGAGGGTGGTGGTGAAGGGGGTGATGGTGAGAGCGGTGATGAGAGTGGTGATGAGAGTGAGCACGCAGGGGTGTTTACAGCTCACATTGACACGAGAGCACCCGCACACACAGACACACATACACACACAGGCACATAAACGTACACGCACAGACACACATACACAAACATACACTCATGTACAAGTGTGACTTACCCGTGGCGTCTGTCTTGTTTGCCTTGAGCTGCGCCTCGTGCCACAGCCGCTGCACATACAGATACGGCAGCCCAAAAAACTTGTTCACATAACTCAGCCCAAAGTCTGCCATGCGCGTGCGCGCATGTATGTGTGTGTATGAGACAGAGAGAGAGAGTGTGTGTGTGTGTTAGAAAGTGTATGTGTGTGTGAGAGAAAGTGTATGTGTGCGTGCGTGCATTGCTCAGTATGGACTCATGCATACGCTCACAGCAAGCACGAACGCTTACAGCACACGTCTTTGTGAAGAGCACGACACGTGAGTGCTGTCGTGTGTGTGTGTGTGTGTGTGTGTGTGTGTGTGTGAGCGCAACTCACCGTTGATGATGGAGGCTGCTGCGCAGTGGATGGATGCGGCATTCCGTGGTCTGTCATCAATGACGTGATTGTTGATTTGGTTGGTTTGGTCGGCGGTGAGGAGAGGCAGAAGCCAATACAGACGCAGCGTGCTGCCGCAGCACACACACACACACACGCACAACACACACACACACACACACGGGACAAGGGAGAGGTAGGAGGCGGATAACATAGGAGGGTATGAAGATTGGAACCACCTCAAATTTGAACAGGAAAGAGCGCTAGGGAAAAGGACTTATTACAATAGAATCGTGCGGCGAATGGGGTCTTTGGCAAGTACCGGACGTGTGCACAATAATGGGAG